TCCTCCCTTGGTGCAACAGGTCCCTGTCTGTCAGCAGCAGTTTGTTAGTACCAGGGCTTTAGTGTCACACACACTTCAATTAATATAGTGTCAACTTGCAACGAATAAAACTAATGAAAAAGAAAATTTATAAATAAGCAACAGTGTGAAAAAACAGGTCAGAAGCTGAAGAATGCAGCGGCCCAAGAAATCAAAGTCTGTTTTTCAAAAAGAGCAGAATAAGGATAAGGGATAAAGAGGAGAGACGGCAGAGGTATCCAATACGTGACTGGGTTTTCCAAAAAAGGTTTGTTACCCGAATAGTTCAAATTAACCATAGATTATTAAACTGTTCAGTAAAATAAGACAGACTGGTGATCTGTAACTTTTGCTCACTAATTGCTGGATATCGGCAACAGCCCCACCGTGACCCTAACGGATAAGCAGATGGATGGAAGATATCAGCTTATATTTATCAGTAAAATAGCAATAACTACGTCTTTTAGGCCTTGTAATCATGAAAAATATAAGAACAACTTTAGAAATACAGCTTTTTAACACATTTATTGACATGGCAATTTTAATTTTAAATATCACAAAGATTTATAATTCTATTTTCTAAAATTCATCATGTAATAATTGAGCAATTTAAAACAATTAATTTTTATTTTTTTCTGCTAAATTTAAGCAGTGTTGTGTTTTTTTTTTATGTTGCTCTTTGTTGCCCCCTTGTGCCAGTCTCCTTTCCCCTACCTTCTAGTTGCTTCTATCCACACATGCTGCCTGTTAGCCGATTATCTCTGTCTTTGTTCTGTCTCCCATATATACACCTCCTGTGCAGTTTCACAGTGCTGGTTTCTCTTCGTTACTGTGCTCCTCATGTGTATTTTCTGTATTATGTTCTTGGAATTTTGCTTCTGTTGCCTTTTTGTTAGTGATAATGACATGTATCCTCATGACACATTGAACTGTTTGGATAAATAGCTTCAACGATCCCCACAGTTCATGAGGCTTCATGTCACCACCTACTGGTAGAGTGCATAACTAAAGTTCGTAATGTAATCTGTGATTTTTTTGCAGTTGTTTTTCTTGTTTTTTTCATCCATTTATACGGAGCCCCTAAAGGGACATGGAGGGGGAAAAAATAACTTTTGCGAGATCCCACAATACTTTTGCGAGATTCTGCAATAGTTTTGCGAGATCTCGTAAAGGTATTGCAGGATCTCGGAAACGTTTTTTTTCCCTCCCTGTCCCTTTAGGGGCTCCGTACATTTAAGCTCCCTTGAAATGTATTTATTATAATTTTTTTGCACTAGTGGCTCACCTTCTCGACAGTAGGCTGACAGGGAAGGGGTAATGAGAGAAGTGGAGAGACATGCGGCAAAGGACCACAGGTCGGAATCAAACCCTGGTCGGGCGCGTCGAGGACTAACCTCTAACCCAGGGGTGGGCAATTCCAGTTCCTGGGGGCCGGTATCCTGCATCTTTTAGATGTGCATTTGGTTCAACACACCTGAATCAAGTACTCAGATAATTGGGAGGACTCTGCAGGAACCGACTGCATACTGAGGAGGTAACTCAGCCATTTGATTCAGGTGTGTTGGACCACGGATGGATCTAAAAGTTGCAGGATACCGGCCCCCAGGAACTGGAATTGCCCACCCCTGCTCTAACCTCTATAAGACGGACTCTAGTAGGAGATCCTTCCTGCATTCAGCCATAAACACATACATCAGTTTTGAAAAACCCCTAAAAGATGAATCAAAATAAAATTTCTGTTTAGATTAAAAACATATATTGAACTGAATGTAATTTCCATAATTACTATTCCACCTGCAAAAGTTAAACAAAGATTCGACCTTCACAAACTGAACTCCTGTCTATCTCAGTCTCAATGGGTAAACAAATTCAATTACTTTTTCACTTCTTCCTGGAACTTTCCTATCACTAAGAGTAAGATCAACCATTTTTCTCTGTAAAACCTTTTAGCAATCTTTTAATGCTGCTTACCTCTCTACGTCAGTGTTCAGCCAGCTCCATTCTTGAATTCCAGACATTGAACAAGACCGCTGTTACCTTTTTTTAATAAGCCACTTTAACTGTTCTTATGACAGAAAATGGATATTTGCTACCCTGCTCAGAGAAGATTGCTCTTACAATATTAGAACCTGTTAATGCATCATCCTGGTGACATGTTAAAAAGATAAAATCTCTCAGGTGCTTAAGGAACAAGGTGAAAAAAGAGTGACTAAATAGAAATAACACACAGGATAGTAGGTGCTTGTTGAATATTTATTTATAATCTTTGTTTGTAGGATGACAGTATAAGCTCTCAAATTAATTAAATAATTCAGACACTAGTGACTAATTTTTTAGGAAAAATAATTGCCTAAAATTACTGTATTAAATCTTGCTGTGAAGAAGACCATTCAGTGGCTACATAAGTAGCCATGAATGTGTGTAGCAGTGGTGCTGAGGTTAAAGACCCAGGAAAGAAAGAGGACCCAACACAGGTGGGGGTTTAAGTCCTGCACTCATTAACCTGTGTTGAACGTCTATATCTCTATATCAATTTATTAAAATTTTAGTTTTTAGAATTTCCATTCAGTCTACTGCTGTTTGTTCTGACATAGCGCAAGGTTGATGTTGCCTACAGTATGATCACTAATACTATCATCTATCAATATGTCTTTTCAGATGCACTGCTACAATATTAACTCCCACATCTGCAAAACCTGGGCCACCTGCAGACACCACATTCTTGGGACTACAGTGGCTCAAAAACTACATTTCTGGATTACTTCATGGTGCCTGGGCATACTCTACCTGCAATTTATCCTGTAGTTGTTTTACCACAGTCCCTTTCTGCACTTGGATCCTTCTGCATCTGCCGTCATTGTGGTTAGTTTTGATGAACTCCCCTCAAGAATAGTGTGGAATTTGTATTGTCATGAGGTATGTTCTGCAATGACATTTGCTTTGTAACTTCAAACTAACTGCAATGTCACAGTCCCTGATAGTTAAATGATCAACTGACTAAACAACAATCAATTAAAAAAAATGTATATGGGGAAATGATAGGCTGTTTCTTATTATTATATACATTTCTTTATTTCTGTTGTAGCCATTACCAAAACGAGGCCTGTGCAAATTCTCATTTATTTCGGTCAATCATAGGGAGGTTTCCTCACAAATATGAGTAATTTGTAAATTGAATATATGAAATAACATAATGTAGTCCTTAAACACCCCTCTGAATGAGTATCCTTGTCCTCACTTTTCCACCAAAACTAATGTATTAAAAGAGACAACCACTGGAATTTTAAGAGTTGTACTGACAGTAAAAACACATTCATTTAACTGAGCCTCAGGAGCAAAATAACTAAGAAAACTGATTTAATGGCAAATTAGTAAGGAGGAGGTGGAACACAGCTGTTTTCTGAACACAAAACCATTTTTGAAAACTGACTTGCGAGTAACACAAAATATTTAAAATTGTTTGAACGGGGTGTCATTATATTTAGCAGCAATAAATGAAGCCAAATCTATATAGGGGAAGGGAAGGATCTTTCATGGTAAGATCTTATCATGAAAGATCCATGCTGTTCAACACATCCAATTGGAACAAAAAGTAATTAAAAATATGCTTTAGATATGGATATAGGTAGTCTTTATTTAGGTCTAATTGTCTATCATAAGCTAAAAAAATGCACTACTACTTAGATTTTAATAAAATTATATAGAATTGTAGAAATATTATCTTGTAACACTAATACTGCAGTGCTATTTATTTTTTAACCACTTTTGCCTTAATTCTACACAATATCCATCTGGAAACTCACCTGTGGAGGAAATAACAAAAAGGATGTATATTCATTACAATTCTGTGAGTTGATTGGGTATAACTAGTAGAGTTCACTCTTTAATCAAACTCTTACCAAATAAAGTCAGAAGAAACAGGCAAACATCTTTCCCATCCACCAAGGTATAATTCACATGCTTTTGCTCATTTTTCCAAAAAAGATTGTATTCCAACTTAAACTGGCACAACCAGCTTTGTTTGGCTTCACCTTTCCACCTCTCGTTGACATGTTGATGTCATACACGTACATGCACCTGGTGGTTCCTGACAAGATGTATTTTTGGTAATTTGTGAATTCAAAAATCTTGCGACAATTCATCTTGCTTGCAAGGTAACCTTTGCCTAGATAAATGTAACAATTACTAACTTTTCATTGTTTACATTCCAAATATAGTCAGTATCAGAAACATCTAGATCAAACAAAGATACAGTGAACTCCCTAATTGCATGTCTTTTGAAACCTACATACAAACCTACATACAAGGGGATCTTAAATTTTTTTGTTTATTCAAACCTCCAGCACTTTGATAAAATGGTAAAGTTTAATAGGTTAGATTACATCCAATTTAATATGCTTTTTTAAGTCCAAAGTAAAAATGAGCTCAATCTGAAATAATTCCACATTTACTTAGTCTCATTGCACAGTAACATTACTAAGATTTGTCTTAAAAGTAAATGATTAAGGCCAACCTCTCTGAGTAAATTTAATTGATAAAAATCATTGGTTTTCATTGGAACATAATGGATAGTATATAGTTTATTAACGTATCAATTTTTAAACTAGTATCGGGCTACTCAGTGATACAGTGGGTAGCACTGCAGCCTTGAAGCAAGAAGGTTCTGGGTTTGATTCCCGGTATTTCTGCATGTTCTCCCTGTGCATGCATGGGTTCTCTCCGGGTACTCCTGTTTCCTCCCACAGTTCAAAAACATGACTGAAATTCTCCTTAAGTGTCTCCATGAATGGCTGTTTGTCCTGTATGTCTCTGTGTTGCCCTGCAATGGAATGGCAACCTTTCCAGGGCGTACCCCGCCTCTTACGACCCCAGGTGGGATAAAGCGTGATGGAAAAAATGGATGGATGAAACTAATATATTTTAGTGCTTGAAAAAAGAATCATACAGTACAGAAAAAACAACAATAGTTTATTTTACCCATATTTTGTGTTTGAACTACAAACTCTGGTCTCTATAATCAATCTCCATATCTTTTAAAGGTCATGAAAGAATGCTTACATGAAAAACAATCTCTTATTCTGTTACAGCATATTTCTCTATATTCACTTTTTGAACAGGCTGTTGGCACAAGTAAAATCAAAATAATATTAATAATAATAAAAAAGCATTTTTTTATTTCAATTTTAAAAGTCATTTTATAGAAATCTACCACTAAAACAGCATTCCCTCTCATAATCAAAAAGAAAGAAAGTTGTTAAAAAAGCAATACTGACCAAAAATATTGAGAAATCTTACATACATGAGACAGCTTGACTAAGATGCAACAGGTTTACCATTTAAATTTTCTGACAGTTTTCCTCCAACTGAAAAAAAATATAAAAAAATATATATATAAAAGTCCCAAACATATAATTGTATTCCTAAACTCCACCTCTAAGAAGTAAAAAAAAAAAAAAAAAAAACATTAAGTGAGACATTTGTCAGCTATGGCATACACGTGTACCAGAATCTACAAACATAAAGGGGTGATATAGCTGGTAAAAATTTGTAGAACTTTAGGTTTAACATTTTTTGGGGTAATATTAATGAAGCAATCATCATCACACAAGTACAGTAATGTGCCCTGGACCCTCAATAACTTATTACCTCTCCCAAGGAGGTTATGTTTTCATAAGAGTTTGCGTGTGTTTGTCTGTCTCTCTGTCTGTCTCTGTTTACAGGATAACTTAAAAAGCTATAAACAGACTAGAATGACATTTTTAACAGAGGTGCGACTTAAGCGGAGGAACAATCTATTAAATGTTGCTGATTTTCCAGATCATAATCTGAATACCAGATTTTTATAAAGGAATTTTAACATTGTGAGATAGTATTTTATGGAGGAAACAAGCAGCACCCATGCCTAAACCAGAGGGTTTCAGCAGTGACTATTGGCAGCATTGGACTCCAAAAGTCATGATCCAGACGTGCATATTTTAACTATTGGTGTAGGTCACGATATAGTAATCATAATAATTGAACTTTATTGATCTCACAGTGGAGAATTTACCTCTGTATTTAACCCATCCCCTCAGGGAGCAGTGGACTGCAATTGTGTGGCGCCCGGGGAGCAGTGTGGGGTTAAGGGTCTTGCTCAGGGACCCAGAGTGTAGGCTGTGGGGATTGAACCAGGTAATTGCACAAGCGCCCTGCTCTAACCACTAGGCCAACACTCCCCGAACATTAGGCAAAATTAGCTGCTTGGCTAAGGTCTGCGCTCTCTGAGTGTTTTTCTAGTCTGTTGTGGTTTTTAACAAATCAGAACTTGAATACAGTCTAAAAAAAACTATTTGTACCGCAGTGTGGGTCAACAAGTAAGAAAAATAGCCAGAGCATTTTAATAATAATATTAATAATTCAACTTTATTGATCTCACACTCGAGGAATTTACCTCTGCATTTCACCTATCCCCTTGGGGAGCAGTGGAGCAATTTTATAATTCAAAACTGTGGTGGATGAATGTTGAGCTGTGAGAGGATTACGAAATACAAGTATAGTAATTTCAGAATATTAAGATAAATAAAAGTTTTGAGAACATTTTATTTCTTATGCCATTAGTTCGGATGTTAGCTTTAGTTCAGCGTAAATTATTACCATTGTAACTCCCAGGCTGCACACTGTGCAGTTGGTAGAATTGTTGCTTTTCAAAAATAAGGTGGTGTGTGCATGGAGTTCAAGTGTTCACCCTGTGCATGCATGGATTCTTCCTAGTTTCTCTGGCTTCTTCCAACAGTTAAAAACAAAAAAGACTGTAAGGTTTAGTCTCTCTAAATTTGATATACATTTGAGTGCTTATGGTTGTGTCCTGTGTGTCTGTGTACTGTCATTTGATAGACTGGGAACCTGTTCAGGATGTGTCACATATATCAGCCACTAAGTGCAGGACAATGGATGAAGGAAAGATTCTGCCTTATTGGTTATAAAGTATTTAACATTTTCAGTAAATATGGGACATAAGAAGCATTCTCTTAGATCTTTATGGTCTTCTTTTGTATTTTTGAGTCAAGCAAACCTCAGAGGAGATGTTTACGATTTGATGGAGCTTATGTTATATTTTTGTTCAACATTTTTACCAAGTAAGACCTTAAAATCCAAATCCCTTTAAAAATACAGATTTTAAGATGAATGTTACTTTTAATAGATTATCATGGTACAATAATATAAGACAGTAGAAATTACTTGAGGGGTCAATATTGCATTTCGTCACAACAATTGCTACTTCGTTCATCTGATTTATAGAGATCAGTACAGCTCAAAATGTTTTACATGTGAGGCTTTAGAATGGGGTTCCAACTTTAGGTTCAATGAAATGTTTTCTGAATGTTTAGATGTCCTACTCCTTTAATGTGATCAAAAGTGTGACAATGCCTTTAACCAAATATATCTTGTAGTTTAAAAAGAAGAACCCTGTTTACTTGCTAAAAGTAAACATAGGACCATCTGCCTAACGACAGCATTTATGAAGCTTGGCACCATGTTCACAGCAGGGACTTTAAAATGGCTTCCTGGCTTTGAGTGCCTGCAGAACTGTGTCCATACAAAGCCCATGGGCACATCAATTAAAATGTAAATTCTGTTGTCACTAAGGGAAAGGAAGAGAGGCAGGTGGAACTCAAACATCTGGTTGATGCCTGATGCCACATATTCTGCATAAATGTAAAGCCTCTTGTCACATAAGCCTTACATCACAGAGCCAAGTCTTTTGGCTTGCAGGAGCGGGATGTAAGCTAGGGCTACCAAGCATCTCAATGTAAAAATGTGGCGCATAAATGACAGGCAATGTGGTCAGATAGCTATATAAAGGGCTTTTTTTCTGCAGTTTGTTGCTCTGGTTCTGATAGCTCTCCTAGCAGTGCTCCAAAAGAAATGACAGATCTCAGTAAAATGACTCAAAACAAATGAAAAAAAGAAGTCACCTTAATATGCACCAGTACATCGCATTAAAAGATAAATGTGAGGTCAGAATACATCTGAGAGATTTCAAACAAGGGGAATTTTCCAGGATGTCTATTGTAAACACTCACACTATTCCCATCCTCTTAAATTACAGTAATGTGTCTAAAGTATTTATTAATGCTGATATGACTCCCAGAACCCCAGTAATTTTTTATGAAGTCAATAGTATATTATATTTCTAAATAGACATAGATTTGAGTCAAGGCAAGTTTGAGATTAGATGTATAATTGTATTTTGCTTACAGATTAGGGACAGAAAACATTTAGATCAATAAAATTTAATCTAAGAGAAAAATAAAATCATTAGTAATGAACTTCCTTTAAACAGCTTTCATAAGCAGAATCTAATTTCTTTTTTCCGGAACGTTTAGTCTCTTGATTACAGAGCAGAGAGTGCCTAATGTTTGTGACAGTTTTAATTAACCATTGAATTATGGTCAGATTCCATAACTTTCACTTTCCCTTTTTGGTGGGTTTTATATGATCATGTCTAAGATGGCCACAAATGATTCAATCATTTTATCCACTGATGGAAAAAAAAACTTAATTGTTCTAAATCTTTCTCATAGGTGTGGTGAATGGGGTTATTCACGTACAACTCTGTAATATCACTAAAATACCAGCTTAAAACAATGATTGTTAGTTTTTTCTCAACAGATGCCTTCTGACAGAGATAAACCATATCTGTAAACAAGTATTTTTTACATGACAGGAGGAAGAAAAAACATATTAATAGATGGAAAAGTTTCAGAATTCTTTTTTTCTTGATTCAACCACAATATTTTTTCTTAAATAAATAATTTCTGTTTTGTAAAGACATTTTGAAACAGTAGACATATTCTAAATCCCAAAGTCAATAAAAGAAAATCACTGCCAAGTGATTTGCTAAACATTATTGTGTTCCTCCATGTTTAGTCCTCTAAACCAGTTGTAAGTAGTGTCCTGTCAGTACTGCCACTGTGTAATACCAACAGTTTTACAAGTCTGTCAAAAAGTGTTAGATTTGGGTCTCTTGTACATTGTCTTTTGAGGTGGCCCGGATTAACAAAGGTTCATGTGCTGAGCTGTGTATGGAATTCATAGTAGAAGCATGGTTGTAGGCAATCTTATAGGTATTGTAGTGGTTAAGTTGCTCATGCTCCAGAGACGGCAGAGTAAGGTGACCCTCCATTCCTGGGCCCCCTGTGACGCAGTCCTCATCCACATTGATGATCTCAATAGTGCGTGTGGGTGCATGATGATTCTGCTGGTGATGCTGCTTGCGCATCTTGTAGAAGATGATCAGCATGACTGCTGCCATAAGAGTGATTGCAACAAAGCAGCCAATGATGATTTTTGTTGTCTTCATAACCTCATCCAAACCGTTGAGCGAGCCTTCTGTCACAGGAATTGTGTAGGGCTTTTCCGTTGCACGTGTGGAGAGTGGGGTTCGAACTTTTGTGGTTGTTGAGGTGGGTGAATGAGTTTCCCATATACCTGCAGAGGGTGTGGGGCCCACTTTCTGTTGAACAGTGGTGGTAAAGCCTTCATTATGAGGTGTTTCTATTGTCTCTACTGTCACTGTGGTGAAGTAGCTAAAGCTGCTGTTCTCTGTAGAGGACACATTAAGTGTTGCTGAGGCTGTTGTGTTACCTGCAGAATTACTAACCATACATGTGTACGTCCCTGTGTCCTGCATGGTAACATTAGTAAAATTCAGTGTGCCATCATTTAGCACAGAGATTCTGACTTTGTATGCACCATGTGTCATTATTGAACCATTGGGTGTAATCCAGCTCACAGAGGTCAATGAGCTGGCTCTACATTTCAACTCTGCAGCACTTCCCTCTGTTACATTTAAGTCTGCGGGGGGCTCCACGATAACGGGAGCATAACAGTGAAAGTAATTCTGGTCCAGCTCACCAATGTATCGACCCTTATACTGAGTGGGTGAGCTGCAGCGAGCACAGCAGCTGGTGTTTGCTGGTACCATCTCCTTAAGCCACCAACTTAGCCAAAGGATATCACAGTTGCAATTCCATGGGTTGTGATGCAAGTGCACCCTCTCCAAGTGATGTAAAGGAGTGAAGAGATCATGGGGCAAAAGTGTAAGATTATTGTGGGCAAGGTTGAGCTCCACAAGTGACTGAAGGTCATCAAATGAGTTCCTTTCTATTGTCTGGATCTGAGCATGCATCATCCATAGCTTCTGCAAGTGGATAAGCCCTTTAAATGAACCAGGTCGGATAATAGATAGCTGGTTTCCAGACATTTCAAGTTCATCAAGCTTCACCAAGGGTGTGAGGTTGGGAATTTCCTTCAGATTGCACATTCCCAAATTTAAGTAGCGCAGATTGCTCAGTCCCTCAAAAGCCCCCTCTGATATGTATGAGAGCCGTTTGAGTTCGCCTAGGTCCAACCTTCGTAATGACGGAACTCTGTTAAAAGCATAGGATGGAATGCTTTCTATTGGGTTGTTTCTAAGCCAGAGCTCCTTCAGTTTGGACAGGTACTCAAATGCTCCATTTGGAATGGTAGTAAGTCTATTATCAAAAAGCTCCAAGGTATTGAGACTTGCCAGTCCATTGAAAGCCCCTAGCTCAATTTTACGTATGTGGTTTTTGCTTAGCTGCAAAATCTCCAAATGTCTTAGATGTTTGAAGCTATCCACCTTAATGACCTGAATGAGATTTTCTTGCAAGTTCAAATACCGTGTGTTGGTAGAGATTCCATCAGGAACTTCTCGCAAACTTCTGCGGGTGCAAATAACCTTGCTAAACTGGTTACTACAGGAGCAAACTGAAGGACAGGTTTGTGCACGCACCAGTCCTGCCACCACCAGCAACTGGAGGGCTAAGAGCAGCACAAATAAAGGGTCGGACAAGGCCCGGTTCCACCTAGGACCTGGCATCATCTGCTGCTGAGAGGAGGTCATCTTGTTGAACATTCATAATTCACTGACTGGTCTTCCACTCTTTTTCAGGAGGATTCAGGCCAACTGTAAGGAAATGAAAAAAAAAGACAAATCATTAATTAATTACAATATGATTGTTTTTTAGTATGTTACATACCAAAGATGATTGGTCAGGTTTATTTGTATGTTTTAGATTGATCATGACAAATATATTTGCAAACAAACAAATGGTTTTAATCTATGCGCTACTAAATTCTTGCAATGGAAAAAAAAAAAAAAACAAATTCATTTTAAAGTTATTTATCTGCAGGAAAAGGTAAAAGACTAGCAAAAAGCATAAAAAAATAAGGAAACAAAGACGGAAAAACATACCATCGACAGCTTAGCAACATAGATGCTTAGAAATGTTTGTTTTAAGACCCACACTTTCCTAAATATAACAAAGGTCCTTTTGTAAATTATATTTTCATGCCCTTATAGATTGTGTTTATTTGCAATTTTTTCACATAAAATGTTTTAATTCAAACACTTTATCTTCACCAAGATTGGTAAATTAAAATTTAGGCTTTATTTTTTATTTTAATCGTGTTCTTTAATTAATAAAATAAGAATAATATCCAAAATAAATCTAATTTACCTTTGAAATCTTGAATCAAGTCTTACTTACAGTATCATATGTCTGGAAGGCTGTGGTTAACATCAAAAGCCTTAACCAGGTTTGATTACTATTAATCATGCAGAATTAAGAACCCATTGAGAAAGAAGTAGTACAGATTATATAGATTAAGAATTTACCAAAAGCAATATGCTGTACCCTAATTTAAAGAGATTCACTTTAAAACAATAAAAAAAAAAATGACTGAGTAAGGTCAGTGCAAAAATGGTTAAAATCATTTCCAAGGCTTTGGCAGAGCCACCTCTTGGCATAGATGTTTCCTTTTGGCCCCAACCCCTAGGGGGAGCATTGCTGCAACATTAAACAAGTAAAAAAATATACAGTTAAAGAAAATAGAGTACATTATTCTTACTTTGACCCCAAGGCGCCACTGAACAGACAAGCGCTGCAATGCATCCTTTACACCATACCCCCCCTTACTTTCTGCCAAGCACCCTACTTTCACTGGGAATGTTTGAGGGTGGAGCGCCTCAGAGCGGTTGGGCACTGACCACGCTAGAATACCCTTACTACATGACATTAGTATACATGTAGGCTTTAAATAGAACAGTAAAGTGCTTATTTGGTGATACAATCTGCATCAAGCTGAATTTAGAGAAGTGTTCAATGGTTGATGCTTCTGGGACGCTCCACGACACGCCAAGTGGAACCCTTCTGACTGACTACAGGGGTAGCAGAAAACTGAGATGCAGGGCACAGATGCGTCGCGACATGTATGCATTCAGTCAAACGTCTGGATTACCCTAGTCATTGTTCCTCTGTTGCTCTGTTTGCTTATTCACCATACCAGCTCTACTGCACTCTAATCAGTGTTTATTCTGCTCTGGTGTTTGAAGCCTTCTTAAGCAAACTAGTTGAAAGGGCCAGATTATACAAAGTTAGTAGATGAATCTGGCATGTTGGCCAAACTATGTTTGTATTTTTATTCATATTTACAACTGTGTAAAGTGCCAACTCTCAGCCAGTGTATATTAGACTTGTTAATCTCTGACACAGTTATTTAATTTTGGCCCGATTAGGCAAAAAAGCCAGGAAACCTTTGTCCTTCAGTTTTTACATGATTTAGGGGCCTACTTATGCCATGCCCCAGCTCCACAGGTGTGCAGATGGTGTGGGAAAAGCAGCAGATGTTTTGTTTTGTCGTCCCGTAGGTCTACCTGGAGCATTTAGGACAACATATGGTTGCATTTCATAGCCCTCTTTGGACCCAATCTGCTCCCCAATGGTTTGGATGAGGGGAAACCGGCCTGTTGTCTCTCTTCTCTCCATCCTGCCGGTGAGGGGCAAATCCTTCTGATTCGCGACGGCTAGACCTTGCTACTTGCAAAGATAAGACACCATCTGCTGTTATTGTTAAAGGGGTCATACAATGATTATATAGGGTATTTTGTGATGGTCCTTAAGGTCTCTGAATAGGGTGTGTAACATTGGTTGGGCTGAAAATGGCATATTTGCTGTTCTATGAGCCCTAATGCAAGCCTGGTTAAAAGCCCTATAATAAAACTTGTATGCTCATGAATATCTAGATGAGCTGTGCACTTTGTTTGTTTTCAATGAGCAAAGCTGCTGAGCAAAGACTCATCATAGCAACATGTACTCATTGACTGAAACATCTAAATTGTTGATATGGTAGAGTGACCAGACGTCCTCCTTTTCCCGGACATGTCCTACTTGTAATACCTAAAAAAATGTCTGGGGGGTATTTCAAAATGTCTGGGATTTTGGTCGACTACACACTTCATCATTCTTCACCTTCACTAGATGTGGACATACTACTTTAGTATGTTCTGCTGTAAAATGAGTGTTATATTTTTGTTTTTTACTGGAGGATTCAACCTATTTCAGAGGATGCACAACTTTGAGTGGTATCTAGGCTACTTTCAGAGAGTAAACGGAAACTTATTGGCTTATTTTTTGACTAATCCAATCATTGCGCTCTCTGACAACCAGTCACCTGGAACGCTTGTTGAACAGAGGTCTGCTTTGGACAGATATGCACAGGTTTCACAAGCAACCTCCTCCCCACACCCCACTCTCTGTTGTTGTCTGCGCAATCAAAGTAGTTCTAATCCACACATGGTGAATTAATTATTGTATTGCCTGCACGCTCTCACTTGCATTAAAAAAACACCACCTCACATTGTGTGAAATCCAGGATAATTTATCCGGCTCAAGGACATCCGTGAAAAACCATCTATATTTAGGGGACACCTGAACCTTCCGGGAGACTTGGGATGTCTATTACCGGCCCCCAGCCCCCCTCCTCCGGCCCCGTCAGCGGCCTAGCAGTCAACAGTTCATACGCCCCCCCTCCCTTGGGCCAGTGGACCAGTGGACTGGCCTATAAGTCAATTTTGGGGCGTGACTATAGTACAGGCCAGAACTAAATAAGGTAACATCCCCGAATTGACAATTCAGTGCTTCGTTTGAATTTGCCCGTTTTATGTTGGAAGTTTAGAGTTGTGAGATTTGCAGAGAAAGGAGGAGTCAATGGGGTTTGAACTTCTCTGTATGTCCATTTCACCGACTGAACTATCATTATTCATCTATCACAATGTAAACTCGGTTTTGCATTCTATGACGCCTTTAAAGTTGCTCGGATATACAGTACACTAAATCCTCAGCATATATTCTTAAGGAATTTTGCGCTTCCCTTGGACTGGATTTTCTTTTTCTTTTCATAGCAGAGGTTTAGCTGCTGTTTTCAGAGAGAACTATCTCTGTAAATGGGTTACATTTATATTTTCCTCTTCCAACTCCGAGGTAAACTAGTTTGAACTTTGGATGTTGTTTCACTTTTTGGTCTTAATGTCTCTAACCTGACTCCGAGGCTCTGTATTTTCAGACCATTTGACGATTGTGTTTGATATGTCATTAAAATGTAATTCAGTGTCATGCCGCTTTTAGGTTATTAACTCCTCTGCCGCTCAGCTCCCAAATACCTTTTCCTCAATGTCTTTCCTAGTGACTCTAATGGCATTAATTTATATATTGAGGCATTCTTATTTTACCTTAAGAGATTTAAATGAAGATCTAAGCCCTGCATAAATGTTGGCCTACACACTGCCAGTATTGATTACTGAAGAACTGAATGGAAATGGAAGGACAGGTTACAGGTGTGCTTTCAGATGTTGCTTATCAAATAATTGTTAAAACTGGAAGAAAAAGATTATTCAGATATTATAGTCTCTATTTGGAATAAAACCCTTAAATCCGTTCTTAATATTTAATCAGCTGGTCTGGCAAACTTAAATGGTCTGTATGAGAATATTTTAGCTTTTTTATTTCTAACAAGATAAAGCATTAGAGACCTCATCAGCCATCCTTCACTTGACCCTTCTCAAACCTTCTTGAACCATTTCAGTCAGAGCTGTTAAGGATTTCTCATGATATTCTCTTAGCCACTGATTCTGGTTAAGGTGTTATTTTAACGGTGTTGGATCTAACTGCTGCCTTTGATGATGGATTATGAAAACAACTGCCCAGAGAACCTAGTGGGAATTTATGTGTAACTCTTGATTGGTTCAGGTCCTATTAAAATCAGAGTTTTTGTTAGTTTTTCCCGAATACTCAATGGTGTTTCTTACATGTGGGGTTCCCCAATACTCAATACTTGGCCTTCTTCTCCTTCTATGAACGTCTTCTTGATTCAGTCCTCCATAAATATGGTATTGCCTTTCATTTTGAAGCTGATGTAAAACTTATGTGACTAAAACCATAAGTTTTTTTTTTCTTAAAAAAAAACATTTTTTCTCAAAGGTTTTTTTGGAATGTATTGATAAAATCAAAGCATGGATGTCATATATATATATTTTTTTTTTGCATTTCAACAAACAAGACTGAGGCATTATTTAAGCCCAGCGCTGTTTTAAAAGCCCATGCTAATCTGGTTCCTTTAACAGAGTTTCTGACTTGGACAGCCAACATCCTGGTTGTGGACAATCATTTAAAACTTGATCTACATTAAAATCTTTAATCAAGACCAGATTTTATCTGAGGCAACTTGTCAAAGCAACAAATAATTTCTTTCATCCCGTCGTTTTTTTTTTTCTCCATCCATTATCTGACACGCTTGTCCCAAATCAGGTTGCGAGGGGTGCTGGTGCCTATCTCCAGCAGTCAATGGGCAAGAGGCGGGGTACACCCTGGACAGGTCGCCAGTCAATCGCAGGGCAACACAGAGACAAACAATGACATACAACCATTCATGCACACACTCACACCTAAGGAGAATCCTGAGAAGCCAGTTAACCTAACAGTCATGTTTTTGGACTGTGGGAGGAAGCCGGAGTACCCGGAGAGAACCCACGCATGCTCAGGGAGAACATGCAAACTCCATGCAGAATGACCCCTTCTTGCTGCAAGGCAGCAGTGCTACTCACTGCGCCACTGAGCAGCTTGTTTTTTT